GGAGCAGAGCCAGAGCTGGGGCCAGGAGCAGAGCCAGAGCTGGGGCCAGGAGCAGAGCCAGAGCTGGGGCCAGGAGCAGAGCCAGAGCTGGGGCCTGGAGCAGAGCCAGAGCTGGGGCCAGGAGCAGAGCCAGAGCTGGGGCCAGGAGCAGAACCAGAGCTGGGGCCAGGAGCAGAACCAGAGCTGGGGCCAGGAGCAGAGCCAGAACTGGGGCCAGGAGCAGAGTCAGAGGTAGGCCAAGGAGCAGAGCCAGAGCTAGGCCAAGGAGCAGAGCCAGAGCTAGGCCAAGGAGCAGAGCCAGAGCTAGGCCAAGGAGCAGAACCAGAGCTAGGCCAAGGAGCAGAGCCAGAGCTAGGGCCAGGAGCAGAACCAGAGCTAGGGCCAGGAGCAGAGCCAGAGCTAGGGCCAGGAGCAGAGCCAGAGCTGGGGCCAGGAGCAGAGTCAGAGCTAGAGCCAAGAGCAGGGCCATAGATAGGGCCAGAGACAGGAACAATGCCATAACAAGGAGTAGCTTCAGGGACACAGGGTCCAGGACCAGAGCTTGACGTAGTTACAAGGCCAAGGCTGGAGCTAACGTCAGTTGTAGTACAGGGATCCTGAGCAATGCAGGCAATATAAGTGGATGGAAAGCCAAGATTCCCATGTCCCATCTGGTAGGGTGCATTGTAGGACTCAGGACTGTCAGAGGAGGGCTCTGCGGACTCAGCTGGGGGCTGTGCACATAACACAGGTGCTCTGGCGGTAGACGAGGCTGTAGACGAGGTTGTAAAATGTGCAGCCGCAGCGGCAGTTGCTGCCGTTTTGGCTGCCAGGACAGACCCAGGGCTGACATCTGAAGAAACCGGTTCTGAAGTAGTCCCCAGCCCATCGGAGCTGGGGTGTACCTCTAAAGATCTGAAAGAACACGAGGGAATCAAGGCTGTCAAAACACAGCAAAGGAAGTACGCTGCCCTCCCCTGTCCCCTGAAGCCTGGGCTTCTCACGGAGACAGTGTAGAAGACTCCTTCGCCTCCATAGTCAAACTTCAACTACCGGGTTGCCATAGAGACGGCAAACATCGCCGGGAGAGGGCGCGGAACTAGAGCCGGGCGGAAGTTGCAATGGGATTCTCCGCCGGGCGGAAGCCTTAAGCTAGATTCGCGCTGGGGAGCCCCGCTTTCTGTTCCGACTCTGTTCTGCCTCCGGTGGAGTCTTACGGTTCCGGGGCCTGAGAACTAGCCCTCCATCCCCAAACAAGAGTCTGTGGTCAAGGTGCCTTTTTTTTTTTAAATGGGCGTCGGTCTGGCATCAAAGGCCTTCTTGTATATGTCTGTGGAGGGGCAACAGTAGCTTTTCCTTAGTTTAGTTCATTCTCAAAGCTGGTATGTCTTAAAAAAAAAGTTGGGAGTCTTTAAAAAAATACTTGAAACAGAACAAAAGTGAGATATACAGGGCAGCATATAGGTGCGTGTGTGTTATGTGATTACTTCTCTGATAATTAAAGGCCCTTATGTTGACACTCTCTTCTCAAGCCCCTTTGGAACCTGACTTGGCCTCTAAATGTAGATAAGATTGAGAAAGCAGTACACATGGGTTTGTCTGTTCCTACACATTCAGGCCCATTTCTATTACTACTCTTCTAGCACTCTATCACTTGAGCCACACCTCCAGTTACTATTCTAGAAGTTTGATCCAGGTCAGGCAACTAGACAGGAGGCAGATCTACAAGTAAGTGCTCCTTTGACCCCTGAGCTCCAATGTCTTACTCTGATCACGATCAAAGTTAATCGCAGCTCCGAATTCATTTTCTTCCCCTTTGTGGAATAAATCTATATATTTAAGACAAATGTGCAAAATTGAGATACACTGTATTTATTATCATCATTACAGGATTCCTATTTCCCTTCCCCATCCAAACATCTGGGGTCCTTTGTCAGTTGGCAGGTTTAACCTGGAGGCCACTGGAGCTGTCGGCCCCCAAGTACGTGAATGTGTAGGTGATATACAGACTGTGCACCCAGCTTTCCATCATTGATCACTGAAATAGAATTAGAGGTTAAGAAGTCAGGATCATGGGCAAGGTTAAGGAAGGAAGAGAATACTGAGTAGTAGGAAGTCATAGGTGAAGAACAAAGGGTCAAGAGTCACTCACCAAGTCGGTATCCATCTTGCAGGCCCTCAATCTGTGCTATCTTTTTGGCCACAAGGAGTAGATGCCCTAGAAGCTATACGCAGAGGGGAGAGACATAGATGGCTCCATTGACAGGGAGCAAAACTTCTAGCTTAGTCTAGGGATCCTCCCAGACAATCCCTGACCCTGTTCACCTGCTGGTCTTCTTCTTCAGCCTGACTAATCCGAGGAATAGGCTTCTTAGGAATCACCAGGAAATGCACAGGAGCCTGGGGGGCCACATCACGGAATACGAGACACTATGAGCAGGGACAGGCCAAAGACCATCTGATTACTTCATGAAGCCAGATGTTATCTATAAAACTCCTAAGGGTAATGGGCCCCATGGGGATCCCACCTGTGGATCCTCATATAGAATGTCAGCTGGGAGGCTTCGGTCCAGAATCCGGGAGAAGATGGTTGGTGCTGCTCCTCCAGGAGCTGCCTTCTGGGCCTTGGCCACTTCATTCCCATTAGTCAAACTTGCAGCACCCTGGACCTAAAGGTGAGTCAGACACACCTAGTGGAGGGAGTCGGCAATACTTTTCTCATGTCCTCATATGGGACTGGCAATTGCTGTGCTCTAATAATTATTAACTTCAGTGCGGCACTGGTGGTTTATGCCTGAAATCCTACCTACTCAGAAGGCTGGATCTGAGGATCACGGTTCAAAGCCAGCCCAGGCAGGAAAGTCTGTGAGACTCTTACCTCCCCAATAAACCACGCAGACAACCAGAAGTGGCACTGTGGCTCAAGTGGTCGAGCACTAGCCTTGAGATGAAGAGGTCAGGGACAGGGCCCAGGTTTAGAGTTCAAGCCCCATGACCAAAAAAAAATTAATGTCATCCTTCTACAAACCTATTACTGTGTACAGGGGTTCATACCTGGACTTCTAGCTACATGGGACAATCTGGGTTTGAGGCCTGGCTGGGCAAAAAAGCTCCAGACCCTACCTAAGAAATGACCAAAAACCAGAAAAGAGCTGGGAGTGTGACTCAAATAGTAGAGTGTTTGCACAAGGCAATGAACTCAAAGCTTAGAACTACCACAAAAGGAGTGAGGGGAGGAGAAACTATTAGTTTTCACCCTAGGGAATAGTTCCTTTAGAGCCATCTCCAATAAGGAGTAGGCCAGATGGTGCTGGGCCTGGTTAGGTAATAGACAATAAATATTTCTATGCAGGATACAATAATGCAATTGATTCCTGCTAATGTGCCTATAAAATCTTGTAGTGTTGGGGGGAGATGCATTATGGGAGAAGTCTCAAGACTGAAGTCTCAGTTCCTATGCCACTGCTGAATTACCAAAGATAAATCCTTTCTGTTGTCTTCAAATATAAAAGAGTGGTTTGCATCATCTTAGGAGTACTGGAAGTTCTTTTGGTTAAATCTCACCTATTTCCATTATCTGTTTTCTGATCTTCAAGACTGGCTATCCGTTTTATTTAAGTTTTAAGACATTTGCCCCTCCTCTGAATGTCTTGTCTGGCCTCTTACTGATATTTAATTCCAATAACTCGAATCAGTGTTATGTAAGAGTTCAACTAAGCGAACTCAGCATCCCTAGGTCGAGGTAGGGATGTCCAGGTTCACAACTGCTCAGAGAAGGTTGCGATCAAGGCATCAGACATTAGGTGAGTGAGGACAGGATGAATTAAAGTCCTCTGAATCTCGGAGTCACTTCTGGAAAGTGCAAATAAAAGATTAATGTTCACTGGAAGGCCAGGGGGTAGGGGAGTGGGGTGGTCCCGGCAGGAGGCGGGGAGGCTGAAGATTGGATGGAGAAGAGCACGCCTACTTCCCGCAGAGGGCACTGAGGAAGCTGCCCGGAATAGGCACCGGGCCAGCAAACCTTCAGGCAGACCCAAGCAGCAGTCCTTGCTCTGATCCAGGGACAAGCTCGGCGCCTGGGCCGTGTGCAAGGCGGGGGTCATCGCTAGTTTTTTTTTCTCCCACCACCACCAATCCGATATCACCTCTGTACGGGATCACCGCAGCCCCAGAGCTGGGACCTCGGAAGGAGGGGCCGCTCTGCGAAGCTGCTGGGCGGCACGCGCCTTCGCCAGCCACCGAGAGCGCGGCCCTGGGCCTCCGAGTGCATCAGAGCCTCGGGACCCTTTCTTCACTCCCGTGGCCTCTTCTCACCTGCGTCCCCCGGGGCCCCGCAGCCGTCACGGCTCTGCGCGCCGCGCGCAAACCTGCAGCCAACAACACGGCTGCAGCCATCTTCACGGAGGTGCGGGCACAGCTATCCAAGGCAGCCCCGAGACCTCTGTCGCCCCGCCCCCCGGAGGGAACGCGGTGGCCACTGGTTCGGCCGCGGCAGGGGGCGGGGCCTGACAGCCTGTCCCAGGGGCCGTAGGGATGCCATTCACTCACTGCTCTCACCGCCCCCTAGGAGGCGGGCGTATTACTCTCATTGGCTGTCCCGGCCCACGCAGGACTAACGTCCCTTTTCATTTGCTCTGGGATCCAGGCAGCCTGCGGTTCTCTTTCCTCCAGATCCCTTCCAATCCACGCCATTATGTTAAACCAGGAGATGAGCCTTTTCTCTTAATTGGCTAGGATCCACCCAGTGGGTGGGGCTCCCAGGTTCTAGGCTGAGCCTCCTTTCCTGAGTTCCCGCAATCGGCTGGAAGAAAGAAGGGGGCGGGGTTGCGTCACCTGCAGCCCAGAGGGCTAAATGTAGTTTAGACACTTTCACTGCGGTGGGAGGGTTTCTGAGGGCGCTGGGCACTTATTGGCTCCAGAAGCCACCTGGATGAAGCTATGAGCTGGGAAGTTTTTTGGTTTTTTTTTGGTGGTGGTGGGTTGTTATCTGGGGTTTGAACTCAGGGGCCTCTTTTGCTTCGTTGTGTTAGGCCCTAACTCTGAGCCAAGTCTCTAGCCCTGTTCTTCTAGTGATGGAATATCTCGATTTTTTATTGTTTTGCTTTGCTTTTGCCCCAGGCTGGCAAACCTGGGGAAACCTCGATTCTCTAATCTCAGCTTCCTGGATAGGGTTACAGCTGTGAGACACCAGGGCCAGGCTTGGGGTCTAAAATAGGTGGGGTCTGCAACGAACCCTTTCTCTTCCCGCCTCTTCCCAGAGACTTCAATCTTTTGACCATTTCAAAGATGTTAAAGGGCAATTCCTCGTTTTCTCTTTAATATGTTCACTTCAGGTGGGGTTAGGCGGGAGGAGGATGGGAAAGGATGGGAAGGGGAAACAGAGGAGGCTACAATGCTTGATGAGAAATGTACTCGTTATCTTGCCCATGTAATTGTAACTCCTCTGTACAGTATTTTCACAATTAAAAAAAAGACACACACACACAAATGTTCACTTCATAGAATATGTTTTCAGGGCAATGTTTTGTTGTTGTTTTAAGTGTATGATGGAAGCACCCTATGTTTGCTGCTTTCCGAATAAGTAAAGGAGTATGTATCCCATGTTCTCTTCTAATCAGAAAAGGTTACTACTCAGTGTCTGGCGCTTTGCTGGTATACATCTGTCGGTTGTGGGGCTTGAAACTCTGGGTCTGAGCACTGTCCCTGAGCTCTTTAGCTCAAGGCTAGCACTCTATCAATTGAGCCATGGCACCACTTACTGTTTTCTGGTAGTTAATTGGAGATTAAGAGTCTCATGGACTTCCCTGCCTGGACTGGCTTCGAACTTCAATCCTCACATCTCAGTCTCCTGAGAAGCTAGGATTACAGGCATGAGCCAATAACTCCTGGCTAGAATTTATATTTTTGATGTAACAAAAGTCTCAGATACCAGGTTTTAGTCTGATCTTTAACACAAAGAATATTACCACTGTATCTCCTCCTCCTTCGTCATTGTCTTCTTCCTCTCCCCCCTTCCTCCTCCTCCTTTTTTTTTTTCAGTCGGTTGTGGGGCTTGAACTCTGGGCTTGAGTGCTGTCCCTGCACTTTTCAGCTCAAGGCAAGCGCTCTACTGCCTGAGCCACAGCGCCACTTCCCTCCTCCTTCTTTTTCCCTGACATAGGTGCTCCATAATTATTGAATAACGTTTGGTATTTGTTTCATTTCCTTTCATAATGTATAGAACTATGTGTAGAATATTTATTCTCCCACAATTCCAGTTTGTAATGGCAGCATACTATTTCATCATAGTAACTTCTGCTGTTGACTAGTTTATGTGGATGATTATCATAGTGCCTATAACCAGTATTGAGAAACTCTTTGCTTCTAGAATTAGTGTAATCTCTTTATATAG